CAATTAAACAAGCCCCTAAAAACTAACACATTTGAAAATTCAGTTTGTAGTTTAAAATGTTTAGTTAAGGAAAGTTTTAATTTACCTTTGTTCAGTTTCTTTCTAGATTGTTTCTCTTATGTGTTTTGTGCATTTGTATAGTATTGTAACAAGAGAAGACAAGGGTCAGGTAACACATCCTTCATTAAGGAAATCAACAGATATTTATGAATTTTCATGTACATTATTATAAATTATTTAAGCAAACAAACACAGCCCCCCTGATTGGTTGTTTCTCACTGAAAGTTAATCTTTCATCTCTTTGTGGCTGTTTCTTGAGTTTCAGATCATCTATATGCTAACTGTATCCGCCTACGCAAAGTCTTTGTTCTTATTTTGCTCACGACCAATATTTGTGACATAAACATTGACGTAAATTACTGTCTACCAACTTTGACTAGCAGCCAGCTCTCACCACAGTATGATTTCGCAATTCTGTTGCTGGCTTTGTGCTTTCAAAATTTCTTCGCATTAATATTCTTCTCTATAATGAATAACGTTTTGACGATTCCGTGTAGTTTGTTCCCTGTGCATATTCTCGAAATATGAGTAAGAAAAGTATTCACACACAGTCTCTCTCTTTATGAATGTACCTATCTCTGTTCGCTATCCCTGGGACGGGATGGAAAAGGCGGAGGGATGGTCAGTCCATGACGTGGCGTCGTGGGATGAAAGATGTTTGTGCTAGATTAGCATCGGTTGGTGCGTCACGACTCCCTGGTTGGGGTCCGCGAGATAGCTCAAATCAATGGCTCGAAACGTTATGAGATATGACCAAAAATCGTAATCAATGGCGAACGTGTTGCAATTTCCTTCTTTCTTCCCTTCTCGGTGATAGTTGACGGATATTGTTTGAACTTGTTAAGCGTGGCTGTTTTCCTTCCTGATGAAGTTCTTTATTCGTTCTCCACCTATATTTTTACTTTTAGTCTATGTTGTTATATAATCATTGTGTGGCACATCTTGCAGCCATATCGTACCAAGTTTTTTTGCGTTAAATAAATAAAAAATATAAAAGACCGAATAAAAGGTTCGATATTTTGAAGTTTCCTCAGCAAATGGGCTGATTTTCTTGAGATGGGGTTGCTAGGTTCAACCTACTCTCACTTTTCAGGTCGGGGGTCGAACCGCAGACCACTTTCGGCGTGGTTGGTGAGTATTTTGCCATCGTACCATCAACGCGTCGGTGACACAGCGGTTAGGACGCTCGCCGACCATGCACATGATCCGGCGTTCGATCCCCAGCCGACGCACTCCTTTACCTCGCTAAGCCAGTAATAAAGCTGGTAAATAGAGAAGGGTGAGCATGAGGCTAGCAACCACATCCTTTAAAAACAAACACCACTGCCACAGAAACCTCAAGCCTCTAACTTGAAGTTCCCTATGTTCCACTGGGAACGTGAAGGAATAAAAAAACCCATCAATGCATGATCAGAAATTTATTACTGCCATATTTATATCTGTATTTTATTCTTCTCTTCTTTTCCAGATATTCGTCGTTTTTATCTACCGTTGAATTATGTCTCCAAAGTCAACAGCTTTCATTCATGTTGTTAAAAGATTGAGGTAAGTTTTCTCCCTTCATTCCTTCCTTCATATCCTATTACGCTTTAGTTCATACTGGAGTAATGGAGCAAAATACTCACCAACCACGCCGAAAGTGGTCTGCGGTTCGACCCCCGACCTGAAAAGTGAGAGTAGGTTGAACCTAGCAACCCCATCTCAAGAAAATCAGCCCATTTGCTGAGGAAACTTCAAAATATCGAACCTTTTATTCGGTCTTTTATATTTTTTATTTATTTAACGCAAAAAAACTTGGTACGATATGGCTGCAAGATGTGCCACACAATGATTATATAACAACATAGACTAAAAGTAAAAATATAGGTGGAGAACGAATAAAGAACTTCATCAGGAAGGAAAACAGCCACGCTTAACAAGTTCAAACAATATCCGTCAACTATCACCGAGAAGGGAAGAAAGAAGGAAATTGCAACACGTTCGCCATTGATTACGATTTTTGGTCATATCTCATAACGTTTCGAGCCATTGATTTGAGCTATCTCGCGGACCCCAACCAGGGAGTCGTGACGCACCAACCGATGCTAATCTAGCACAAACATCTTTCATCCCACGACGCCACGTCATGGACTGACCATCCCTCCGCCTTTTCCATCCCGTCCCAGGGATAGCGAACAGAGATAGGTACATTCATAAAGAGAGAGACTGTGTGTGAATACTTTTCTTACTCATATTTCGAGAATATGCACAGGGAACAAACTACACGGAATCGTCAAAACGTTATTCATTATAGAGAAGAATATTAATGCGAAGAAATTTTGAAAGCACAAAGCCAGCAACAGAATTGCGAAATCATACTGTGGTGAGAGCTGGCTGCTAGTCAAAGTTGGTAGACAGTAATTTACGTCAATGTTTATGTCACAAATATTGGTCGTGAGCAAAATAAGAACAAAGACTTTGCGTAGGCGGATACAGTTAGCATATAGATGATCTGAAACTCAAGAAACAGCCACAAAGAGATGAAAGATTAACTTTCAGTGAGAAACAACCAATCAGGGGGGCTGTGTTTGTTTGCTTAAATAATTTATAATAATGTACATGAAAATTCATAAATATCTGTTGATTTCCTTAATGAAGGATGTGTTACCTGACCCTTGTCTTCTCTTGTTACAATACTATACAAATGCACAAAACACATAAGAGAAACAATCTAGAAAGAAACTGAACAAAGGTAAATTAAAACTTTCCTTAACTAAACATTTTAAACTACAAACTGAATTTTCAAATGTGTTAGTTTTTAGGGGCTTGTTTAATTGCAAGTTAGATCACAGATCAATATCAGTTAGAGGACGAACGAAAACTATGGTGTACTGGAACACCACCTACCGACCTCTACCGGGAATCGGGACCAAAACCGTTGGGTTAAGAGGTGAGCTCGTTGACCATTCAGTCAATGGGATGAAATTCAATGACCAGTCCATGAATTCTAACTTCCACCCAATTCCTGATTTTAGCGCGACTGGCACCAATCAATGTCATCGGTGGGATCTCTATCCTCACTCCCGACTGGATGGACCTCACTGGTCACGACTTCTCACTAGAACTCCAGGAAACTCCGTCCTGTAGCAAGTCACTAACGAGCATCAGATTAATTTTTAATAGTTGGTTTGTAAGGATTGGATTTGTTTATACGAGTTTGACTACGGATTGATATTAGTTAGAGAAGAACCATTGAAAACTAATCAGGGGGTACTGGACAGGTGACTGTTTTACCCTAGTTTGGGAATCGTCTCAATATGGACTATTAATCAACAAATGTGATTATTAAAGAATGAAGCTATTATTTCTACACCAGAAAGACACATCAGAGACTATTCAATAAAACCTTAAAATGACGAGGACTTGAACTACGTTTCATCTAAAATGCCTAATGAGAAACAAATTCAGTCAATTGAAGTGGACATAATATGTCTATAGTTGATTTAAGCACTCAGCTTTAAACCAACGGATTCCATATGTGAGTTTCTCCTGTCCACCTACTTCTTCAACCTGAGCAACTAAGTAGCACTGTAGACCTGCACACACACACAATCCTTTATCGCTTAAAGCCTAGTACAAAAACGATTAAAAGGTCAAGCAGAAAGTGTAAAAAAGAAAAAGAAATAATGTAGTGTAGTAAAATTCTTATGCGGACTATCTGGTTACCTATATAAATCAATAATAAAGGTCACTAGTAAAAATATTCTGAATTAGTGTAAACGTTTACATAAAGGTCAACAACTCACAAGAGTACAGGCGTATAACATTCAGAAAAATAAGTTCATCAATAACTACTCATGTGTGAGATGAGAAGTTACATAATATATAGACTGTAAGAAAATCCAGTAAGGACGAATGGAAACAAAGATTGACGAAAGCAGAATCCATATTCAGAAATATTATCTCTAACACATGTACTAAAGATGACTCAGCACTACCGCTAACAGTATGGAGGCTAATCGTCTTAGTTACTCAGCAACGACTAGCCTTTCTATCTACCTGGCGATGGGATACACCTATTGTGTGCAGGTTAATAATGCTACCCGGCTGTGCGAACCTCTGTAGATGGCGAGTAGGATTCAAACTCGTGACATTTGGATTAGAATTCAGCCACCTAGGTCGATGACTATATGGAGTATAGTTCTTGTTTCCTGGAAAAATGGCTAGCTACAGGCATATATAAATGCAAATTTAATCGGTAGGCTACAGCAGTGATTCGTAGGCACTTGTCAAAAAATGATAGACTATCGTGAATGAAGTTTCTGGATAAAAAATAAATTCGGAAATAATAATATTATCATTAAAACATACAATGAGTATGCCAAAAGATGAGCCACACAAAATCTCATGTTTGTGAGAGGGTTGGGATACTGCCTGGTTGCAAAGACTGAAGTAGGTTGGTCTCTTAAGGGGTCTTCACTCGATCCCCTCTCCAAAGCTTTTGACTTGAAGTTTGATCCAAGAGGCAGTAGTGGTGTAGCATTAAGATCTGCTCTCCCATGGTGAACAGTGACCAAAGCAGATTCATAAGCCATTCGGTGTTTTCGGACGCTGGAGTCCGTATACATCATAGGTTTAGAATAAGGGTATTCCAGGTCTCGTAAACTCCTGCATACCCGTCAGTCATGTTTTATTTATTTTTATTTTTGATTACAGCTTGATTCCACACCGTATTTTTGGTACAAGTATGGAATTTTCAGCGTGGATATCGGTAAGCACCCGAGATTCCATATATAAAACAGGTTTACTTTCACCTGACTGAATTCAATATCTTGTGACTAAAAGTGTCATTTGTAATAAATCAGATAGAGTCTTAGTTAAACAAATGGCGGGACACAATTGTGTAATAGAATTAGATATTAACATGATAAGTGCTTCCCTAATATAATAATAATAATAATAATAATAATAATAATAATAATAATCACTTTATTCCACAACAATAAAAATTTACAGCATGGAATTTTCAGCGTTTCTTTTACATATTGCAATGGTTTAGCTCTGTTTATAATTATATAAATGTATAAAATGTTAAAATATTGATAGTTAATAGGAAAAAACAAAACAAAAAAAATAATAATAATAAAAACCCAACAAAATCACACCATTCTAGGTCATAGTGAATAATAAATAAATAATATAACGAATAACACATGCATAATAATATGCTTCATTATATTTTATAGTTTAGTTATTGATTCAAAAGTTGCAAAAGTTCTTTTCTGATATTTGTCTCTTCACACAATACTCGTGCCAAATATGGAACGGTCGAATTTTTATATTTTGTAGTACGAGCATAAATGTTTATAAAATTTCTTCTGGTCTTACCCGAAGAGATACAAGGAAACAATTGTGAATAAGGAGGATGTTCACTATCAGATAAGGTAACTTTAGCTAAGTGTTTACAAGAATTCATATGCCTATTGACAACAGTGTCATTTAGTTGAGTCAAAGGGATAGCACTGACCCTACTTACAGCCCTCAGTGTTCTTCGTAGTATTATATGGTCTTTCTTGAGTAGCCCAGGGAAGAATAATGGAGAACAATAAAGAATGATGGGCAAAACACATGAATTAATAAATTGTATGATAAGAGATTGAGTTATACCTGAGTGTCTCAACTTCTTTATGTAATAAGTCAGACGGAAAACTTTCTTAGAAACTATAAGAATATGAGACGACCAGCAAAGGTTTGAAGAGAAACTAATTCCAAGATAAGAAACACTTGACTTACTCTCTATCATGGTACCATCAATATTACAACAATCATGAGATTGAATCAATCCATGCATGTCTTTTTCACTTCTCAAGCTGAAATCAACAGTGTTACATTTAGTTGGATTTAGTTTAAGACCATTTGAGCCAGACCAATCCTTCACTTCAGCTAAGAAGCCATTCATATGGGAACAATCCGATGTGGAAACTACAGGGACAGAAACGGTCAGATCATCGGCATACTTAATGAAGTTAACTATGGGTGAGTTCGGAAGGTCATGCAAAAAGAAAGAGAAAAGAAATGGAGAAAGTACTGCACCTTGAGGCACACCACTTTCAGTTAGCTGAGAAGTGGAGCGCTTTCCAGCCAAAACAGTATGCTGTTTCCTATCCTTAAAATAAGAAGACAGCCATCTAGTTACCCAGGACTCTGTTTGAGCTAAAATCATCTTTCCTAATAAAAGTGTCCTAGGAACAGAGTCGAAAGCTGCAGTATAGTCTAAAAAAGCTGTTCGAACGAACTTAGCACCCTTATCAAGGCAGGAAACAATATTATGGTGTAGCACAATGGCTGCATCTAATGTACTTCTTCCACACTTATAAGCAAACTGCTTAGGGTCACTGAAAGCTTCTAAAGAAGGTTTAAGAATATTCAAAAGAAGTTTCTCCATAGTTTTCAAAAAAGGAGATGTTATAGCTACCGGTATAAACTTTATACCTGCTCCAGAAGATGATTTCTGTACAGGTACAACCTTGATTTCTTTCCAGTCAGCAGGTACCGTTTCCCTGTTAAATGATGCGTTAAAGATTTGAGTCAGAGGATGACACAAGATGTCTGCACACTTTTGAAGAAGAATGCTCGGTACACCATCTGGACCAAGGCTATGTGTTGGATTTAATGATTTCAAACATAATAGTACATCCTTTTCTTTAAAACCCGGAAAATGACCATTTTCTTGACTAGTTACATCAGGTACAACCATATTAATTTGTTTCTTGATAAATGATTTGTTTAAAGCATTAACATCAGTATAAGCATCAACAGACATTTGTTTTTTACTTGTGAGTTTATTGAAAAGTTTCCAAATGTTTGAAGGATTTTTACATGATAAAAATTTTTCATTATATAGTCTGTTCAACCTTTCTATTTCAATTTTTATATGGGTGTTTATTTTACGGACACCAGTATTATCACAATTCTTATACAACTTCTCTTTTTGTCTTCTAAGTTTTTTCAGTTGCACAGAAGAGATTCTGTCAAATCTCGAAAACAGTGTTTCATACGGACAGCAAATTTCCAAACAAAACTTCAGATAATCGGTTATATTAGAGACAGTAGCATCCAACTTATCTTCAGTAAATAGTTCCCAGTTGGTATCATGCAATATGCTTCTTAATGCTAGAATGTTGTCATGGGAATATGAACGTTCATGTATCTTCTTTGTTAAATGACTAAACAATGTTCGTTGTAACTTGCCGTACACTTTCGGTAAAATACGAATAATGCAGTGGTCAGAATTTAACAAAGGAGCTCTCCTTCGGGTTTCATATACATCACGGTCATTTATGAAAACCAGGTCTAGTGATTTGTCCAGACGTGTATTAAACTTGACTAGATTCTCATGACCAAGTGAAGTAAGAAAGCTGTGATCACATAAATTAAAATCACCACAGACTATAGACAACGAATTTCCGAATGCAGGAGCAGCGAATTCAGTAAACTCATCTGCAAACATAACTATATTAGAAAGGCTACAATTGGGTGTTATGTAAATATTTGTTATGTATATATAAGAATATTTACTTAAGTGTTTTGGGCGACACCTGACGGTTATGCAATCTATATTGTCATTAGAATAATTGAAGCAAACGTGATTTGATGTAGACCAACTTGTGTTTATAAAAGTGGCTACCCCTCCTCCATATTTTTTCTTGGAACTATTTCTATCTTGGCGAAAAACCTTATATCCATTAATTGAAACTAGATTATCATCATAATGCTGGTGCAGCCAAGAAAGGTAGTGCATTTACAATACTTAGGAGTAGTCCTTAAGTTACGAAGTTTGCAGAAAACATTGACCGCAGATAAGCAACGTGATATGAATAATAGCATAAATATTACAGCGGATATTGTATCAACTCTAGAGATGACATAGGCTGGTAAACGCCAACACAAGCTTTAGTATGCGTCAGCCGAGATTTCGCCAGCAAATAGCAGTCACAAACAAGTGAAGTGTGATTTTCCCTAACACTTTCCGGTCCTGTTAGTTTTAGGGGGTGCGATGGCTTCCTCGTCATTAATTTTAACTTAATGGCTATCTCTTAGAGATTTTGTTCTTTGATGGTATTGTGTTTATCCCAAAAATAATCCTATCATGTTTTAAAAAGAGGTGGAACGCAAACGCCTGTTTTAATAGCATGCAGTTTTTCATTGTAATCCACGAGTTACAAAAGGCTTTTCAAAACACCAGGATGTGCGACTTTAACACACATCATTATCATCGTCTTTGCGTGTCGTAAACAGTCCCTTAAAGCATAGCAGTAAGGAGAGTGAGATTCCCAAGAAAACAATAGCATGCATTTAACATTGCCTTAAAATAGCTGCGACAGACTGAAGATAAGAAGCAGAAAAAAACATCTAAGTTTTCAGATGTCGTGATTTGCCGTATTTTCAGGTTATTTTGCATTTTTTTGACTGAATGGATAGTGTTTATATATGCCGAAAGGACGCGGTTGGCCACATATTCTGATTCTAAGTCTAAGTGATCAGTTAACATGTCGTACTTTGAACACAACCTATTTCTAAATACATTTCTTGTGAATTTTGCGCTCTTTTCAAACAAACAAAAATAAGCATGCCCAGAATAGAAGTCGAATGTATAGAAAACATGTCCTATATTTTTTTATTATAGCTTGATTCCTCAAGGTATTTTGGTACAAGTCTGGAATTTTAGGCATGTCATACCGGTAACCCGAATTTAGCTCGCCGATAAATGACATTAGGTGTGCGTCGACAGGGTATCGAACCTTAGACCATGAGCATGGTCGGTAGGCGTCCTAACAACTGTGCCAATGACGTACACATGTATGAAGTCAGTTCCCAGCTAGCATTTTTTTCGGGCTCATTGCAGACTTTTTGAGGCAAACAAACTTCGGGAAGATCTACTTACGTAAGAAAGTTTCCCGAAGTCTGCCCCAAAAAGTCTGCAATGGGCCTGAAAAAATGCTAGCTGGGTTTTCGACATTGGTTATTTACTTCGTGGGCCTGGTCCTATTCTGGGCGAAAATAAAGTCTAACTGCATATATTTTGACAGTTTTGGGCAAATAAGTTTGCACCGGCTTACAGATCCAAAGTTTTGTGATCCTTCTTCTGCAGCAATGAAGCACTCATTGGTGCATGCGTAACCAAATATTTTGCCTCGTGACAGTTGCAAATAAATAGTTCTATGCATCTTAGCTCAGTAAACAGAATTGCATAATTAATATAGCTTATTAACATGTCAAACGTATTCAGCAACCCAAACAGCATACAAAGTACAAAATACCAACTCACCCACGTTAAGCAGTAACAGAAACGAATGACCCGCCGGGCAGGATATTCAATTTTTAACTATGTTTTGCCAGAATTAAATTCTTTTGATGTTCTGACAGTTTTTATAAAAATGAAATAACATTGTACCTGGAAGAAGGTGAGTGCTATAAGCGACTATTTTTATGTGCAAATGGCTCCATATTGTTAGTTTAGCAGTCAGAAATTGTACCGAAATTCGACATTTATTGGCTGTGTTCTGCATTTCGGTGGAATCATTGAGCTTAAGGGTGCACTAATTGAGAGGAGTAACATTTATGGAAGCTTAAAAGGATCAACGCACATGTCGATTAGTGTATGTACCAGACATTTCAATACTATCGTTATCAGATACATTACCGAAAGTTTTAGAGTTCTACCAGTAATAAGGTCTTTTCAAGGTTTTACATAAGAGGGTTTTCTAGAAGCGATGATATAGAGAGCAATAATTCCTGCTCAATATAAGCTCCTTCGGCGCTATCAATGGTATTGTAATCTCACAACCGCCTAGGCCAGTGAAGAAACATTTTACTTTCCTACTGATGAATCTGAAATCTCAATCCAAGGATAGCGTAAGGTTTTACGAAGCGCATCGAAACGAGCATAAATGTTTGTGCATTTCTAACAGAACTTGTTTGATCTATGCACGATCTGGAGTCGGTTGGAATTGGAGCGTGAAATGACTTAAACTTCGGGCGTGGCTATGGATATCAGAAATGCCTGGTTCACCAACTTTTATGGAAACACGTTTGTCAGCTAAATAGAATGCAATTCCATGTGCCAGCCCTGCTGAGATGCACTGGATATCCACTGTAACAATGGACTAGAGGGGGAAATCTGTCGATCTGTCCATTAGGGAGGTCGTCAACTAAATGTTAAGTTCCCAATGAGGATACCCTACTACTGATAGGTGGTCTGCCATGGTCTGAATGTGCTCGCATCTGATTATTTCAAATTGTTTCAGCTGTTACATCCACTATAGAGGTGACTTCTGGACGACGATTAAAGTGATCATCACGTGAAAGTTTGCACGAGTGGTCACTGGAGTGAATTAGCAGCTAAAACATGTCCAGATTAACATGATTGGGACGTACATCAAGTATTGCAAATGGTCCGATTGGACCAATGTGGATATTATGCAAGAACGTGTCCATCACCACGGCTGCCGTCAAACCGGACGAATCCATAGCATGTTAGCTTGTTATGTTATGTGAATACATCAGTGTGTGACTGGTTATGAAGACATTTAAATACTGTCCTTTATACAAACAAACGAACCGTATATTACGGTATGCCTTTGGACAGGTTGCAAATTATGATAACCTCTGTGCTGGCAAAAGCTGCACTCTCATATGTGTAGAAGTTTTGTGATGAAGTCTTTCTACACTCTTGTCTAAGGTCAGAAGTGCTATTGTAACAACCGAAGACAAGGACCGGCAACAGATCGGTTTATTACGGAAATCAGCACGTATTTATATGTATTTCATGTACATTATTATAGCAGACAAACACAGTCTCCTGACTAATTGTTTCTGGTTTCTCGGAAAGTTAAGCCATATGTCTGCGAATCTTATTTGTCCACGTCAAGTCTACTGTGATTGGTTAATGAATCAGCCTTGTTCATATTTTCTCACGGCCAATATTAGTGACAAAGACACTGACGTAGATTAATGTCTACCAATTGGCTAGCAGCCTGCTCTCACCACACTATCATTCCCTTCATTCGATAGGTGGAGTAACCACCATGATGTGGAATATTGGGAACGCGCATTCTTCTAGGTTATTTGCAGCATAAATGTAGCAGATATCTGGTGTGATTTTTGCTATGTGGCACAGATTGCGTAATCCATCTGGTGAACGTCTACTGGCAGCCAAGTGAAAAGTCAAATTCATAGGTTTTCGATTAGTGACAGCAGTAATGTGACAACTTTCGACTAAGTAACAGGAGTGTTTGATGTAGGTACATATGAAAATTGGTTCCCAACGAAAAGTGCTACGTTGCATTTCGCATGCAGATGGCATTCTTAAAGAGAAAGCAGGTTTCCGTCTGTTTTTCATATATTTTTGTGGAACAACACAGATTACAGTTCTAGATGCATTAGTAGAAACAGTAAGGGTAAGCTTTACATCCAGATGCACCACCATAGTGGCACCTGCAATAGCCATCTCAAATTTCTCCAATGTTTTCAATGTTTCTGGAGCCTAGCCTCGTATATTACACCTGCCTATCAGAAGATTTTGCAGGTCCGGCTAGAAATGATATGTTCAGGCTTTGAATATCTATTGGGAGGTAACAAAATGCCAAATAATATGAGAGAAGTTGTCCTGGGCTTTAGTCATGACAAGTTCGGAACCGCCTACACCATGTTATTTAGTTACACGTCCCTGGTAAGTCAGAGTGTGTGCCCACCTGCCACTTCGCAATAATGATTGTTTCCAAATGTTTCGAAAGCTATCAGAAGGCTTGTTTGAGTTGGTCACGATGAGTTCCTTCACCTCTACTAGTTATCGGATTGCTTTTTGGATATGCACAAGCAAAGTCTGACCCATGCAGGCCATCATGGACGAAATGCTGAAACATATGCGGAGATGGGTATACCAAAAGATATTCGAAGAAACTCAGAAGGAGCAAACAGTGTAAAGTCTGCAGTCTTTGAAACATAACGAGGACAGAGTTACCCTGCAGGGTAATATCGCAGTTTTGCCGAAAATTGAATAGAAGCATTTCACTCATACAAGATTTATACAGTAATGAATACACTATTAACTCACCAAGCTCAGCCCTACATTACCCTATAAAATCTACTTGTTTGGAAATGAAACATGTACATATATATTGTGTCATTAACTTCAGATACACATTAGCATCCAAATTTCATACGCCTTATGTCTCACTATTCCATGTAATAATAGTTTGTTAGTTATTTACGAATGCAGTGATAAGTATTTCATGGGCCACGAGTAGCACTTGGTATTCAGCAAAGGTGTGGGCACTTAGTGATTGTAATTTAGAGAACTAACACGACAAGGTTAGCTTTTTTCTAATATATACGCAATGAAAAGATAATGACGAATTGTTATCACAAGTATTGTATTTACTATGGAGGGAATGTTTTTACAGGCAAACTTCACAGTAACATGTACAAGTCTTGCATATCATTGCATCAGTAATATTAGCATACTAATTGCATCACAGCCAAATGTAAATAATCTAAAGGCATAGTAACAACAACTTTGCGGGAGGTAGATGTATTGAAAGACTGCTTGCAGACACTATGTATGATAGCATCTAGTAGAAAGTCTACAAAGACTAACAACCTGCAATGAGGAAGACAAAATTGAAACAATTAGGAGACACATAAAGTACAAGATAATGAGTACATATGTGATGGAAAACGACCAGTGATATGGAAAAAATATATAAGGGTTGCTCAGATATGTGAGAATACGCAGAGTGAATGCATCTGTGTCATTAACAACGTTTGGAACACATTTCTACTTAACACACATTAAGCTTAACCTCAATATTACTCATCACGTTAGTCTACTTAATACAGAAGAAAGGGTACAGACACTGCGATCAAAAACCAGTAGTCTTTTCATATCTTTCAGTTTCAGTGGTCACTTCTTGCAGCCTAAGTGGACAATACCATCAGCATACACTAAGTTGACAAGACTGTTCCTTGGTAAGTCCCTAAAGTGAGTGACGAACAATTTGGTTAATACATGTATGATGAATGTGAACTAAAATAAGGAGGACAGTTGTAGAAATGAGCTTTGTATTATATCCTTCTTGGAAATATCAGTTCCCTCATAGTTTAGTGTCAGTATTAAGTGAATGGAATGTAGTCTAGAGATTCATAAAATTCACATACTGACCTACTTTTTTTTCTAGAATCCTAGTTGATGTCTCCTCAGTAAAGTTATAAATGGGCATTGTACTTGTGTAAACTCAATAGAATGTGAACTGCTGCCAATGAAAACGACAACAATTTTTAGAATTACGTAATTCCAAAAACGATCGTATAATCTTTGATACTGACTTTTGATTCCATCAGATGAAATTAAAGGTAAGAGCTGAGAATAAAGGGGATGTTGAGGGCCAGACAGTATAGATATAAACTATTTCTCGCATGAGTTCAGATGTCTTTCAACTAATGCATAAACGAGTTGACTAAATGGTACACCACCTGCTCTACTGACAACCTTAATATCCTGCACAATACGACATAGTCGTTTCTGAGTAATTCAGGAAAGAATAAGGGGGAGCAGTAAAGACCAATGCAAGAGTTAACAAATTGCCAACCTACCACTTGGCAATAATGATTGTTTCCAAATGTTTCGAAAGCTATCAGAAGGCTTGTTTGAGTTGGTCACGATGAGTTCCTTCACCTCTACTAGTTATCGGATTGCTTTTTGGATATGCACAAGCAAAGTCTGACCCATGCAGGCCATCATGGACGAAATGCTGAAACATATGCGGAGATGGGTATACCAAAAGATATTCGAAGAAACTCAGAAGGAGCAAACAGTGTAAAGTCTGCAGTCTTTGAAACAATGAGGACAGAGTTGGATCTACTGATAAGCATGTGTCAAGTCACGTCTGCCGAAAACAAATGGGCTTTTCAAATGTCATGTCATGTATTCATGGATCTGGGCAACACTCTTGGGCCATTTCGACATTCAGCCTTCCGTAATTGGCCCAAGGCATGCAGTCCATGCCACTGTTATTATGCAGCATACATAGTGGTGAAGACTACATGCTGTTGGATAGTCCAGAACCCCCATCTCCAACACATTTTCTAACTCAGCATTACCGGTCTGGTGTTTCTGTGGAGAAAACCGCTATGTTTTGGTGAATGTAGGTGGGCCAGTCACCTTAGTGTGATGAATGACATTGGAGGCCACACAAAGAAAATCACAGCGGGGCCCAAAATAATGGACGCCGATCACGTGATAGTGAAGTAAGAGCGACTTTATTGCATATCCCCTCAATGACGCCTGTTACTATGTTGCTATTGGTTACAAGTGGCCTTGGTTTTGGGGGAAGATTAAACTTATGTATTATTGCGAATTCATAGACTTAACTCAGGCTCAGAGGTGAAAGAAATTTATTATCCAGGAATAAGGAAACGTTGTTCAAAAAGTAGGGAGGACATTAATTTTCATTTTATTTGTCTATACTCTTGTTTATCAAGTCGCACTCAGTTTTTAGTGCAACTGTGCCAATCCGACAAATATGAGGAAAAATGGGGACATTTTAGGCAAAATAATAACAATAGTGTAAAATGGGGACAAAATCCGAATAATGGCGACAATATCTTAAAAAGGGGGACAAAATCCGAATGATGGGGACAAAATAGGGAAGCAATGGAAAAGTTTCACTTTACTCGGTAGGCTACTAATAAATTGTAAGTAGTAACATTTTTGGGTAGAAAATACCTCACCGCTACTGCAAATGAAGAAAACGCATAAATTAACTGATGCATTTTTCGTAATTCAATGAAATCTATATTTTCCTATTGAATCATTTCAAAGCTTACTTACCAATCAGTGCAGTTTGTGCAAAATTGCTTTGGTAAATGTTAATTACAGCGCAACCAATTGTTAGGGTTTGTTTTCTTACAGTCGCACATTTTGCGCTCACTTTTAAATTGTTCACGACGCAGGTAGGTGGTCGCTGTGGTCCCTTTTCAATTTTTCTCCTAGTCTAACACTAAATACCCTATATTAAGCCTGAAAAGAATACGTGAGCGTAATCTACAGTTGACCTGCCATTACACAACGTCTTACAAAAGATATAAACGTCATTATACGCAGACAATGGCCGAGATAAAGGTAGCGTCGACGTCAACGGAGGCTGTCTCACATGCTGTCCTTCCTGTTGAAGTCGAGCCCTCTTCAGTGAACACTGATACTATGACTAATGAAACCGAGGTAGTGCCATCGGCACCATGCAGCAGCGTAACACCAGCTGCTAGTACTTCGCAAATGTGCACACAAGTCTCTTCTGAACGTGATGATATGACAAGTATGCTTCTGAATACCCTGGTCACCACGAACATTTCACAAGCAGCCGCTAACAGAATATTGGAGATCTTCCGTGCGAAATTGCCTCAACTACCAACAACTGTTAGAAGTGTACTGAGAATGTGTGGGTCTTGCGAGTCTAGACTACTTGGAGAAGGAATGTACTGCTACATCAGTCTCAAAAAATGATTACATGGAGATGTCGTCTGTGATTGGAAGTCCCTGCAACATGATTGATCTGCAGTTGAATGTCGACGGATTGTCCATCTCTAAGTCTTCTAACCAGCAGTTACTGCCCCTGTTAGGTAGGATTACGGCACCGTTCTTAAGCAGTGTGTTCATGATAGGTATATACGGTGGTCCTAGCAAACCCAGTAGTTACAAAGAGTTATGCAATGACTTAGTATCTGAACTAAAGGATATACTAAGTCAAGGCATACATATGACCAGACTTAATAGACATTTCAACATTCGTTTGACAGCCGTCATCTGTGATGCACCGGCTAGGGCGGACCTGAAATATATAGTAGGTGATAATGCCAGCTCTGGCTGCGACAAATGCACAGTAACCGGATTAAAAGTTGACGGAAGAATGATATTTGGGAATGGTTTTTTTCCAATACGAACTGATGACAGCTTCCGTAAAAGGATGCAGCCAAGTCACCACCGTGGAGAGTGTATTTTTGAGGAATTAAATATTGATATGGTAAAATGCTTCCCTCTTGATCCAATGCACCTAGTATATTTAGGGGTAGTTAGGAAGCTAACAAGTCTCTGGCAAGACTTAGCTAAAAGAAATGAGATGCACGTCAACCGTCTCATGCTTGAAAATATTGACGGGAAGATATTACCTTGTGCTGGAATGACACCCAGGGACTTCCCGAGGAAGTGTAGGGGGGTCACCGAAGTTAGTCGGTGGAAAGCCACTGAATGTCGCCTCTTCCTCCTGTACCCAGGACCAGTTTTACTTAAGGACATTATGCCACTGGCAATCTACCGCAACTACCGAAGACTGAGTCTTGCAGTTTATCTTCTGTCCCACTCTAAGTTTTATCGAAATTACTTAGAAGGTTGCAGAGTTGAGTTACTCAACTTTCTGGATGAGTTTGAAGTGATATATGGCAGGGAGCACCTCGTTTATAACATCCATTGTCTGCAACACTTGGCTGAAGATGTCAATGAAATGGGACCGTTAGAATCTTTTTCGGCGTTCCCATTTGAATCTTATATGCAGACAATCAGGCGATCTATACATTCCAACAATGCAATCACTAAGCAAGCGGCACAACGGTTTGCTGAAAAGGTGTTTCACGACTGCAACTCAGGAGAAGTATACAATAACGTTATAAATCACTGTGAGGTTGATGCACGTAGGCAAATAGTTAACACCAGTAATACAGTTATAACTTCCTCTTCACCAGATAACTTAGTCATAGCTCACGGTAGACCGGGTCTGATAGCACAGATAAACAAGGAAGGACTAATATTCAGACCTTATGCAGACGTTTGTGATTTCTTCGACGACCCATTTAAGTCATCCCACATTGGGATATGGAAACGCTCAAGAGTTAGTCCAAACAAGCTAGAAATTCTTCCGTCAGATATTACTTGTAAGTGCTTCGGTATTCGTACAGATAGGTATGAAGTAGCGGTGGCATTGCCTCATACTTTTCCATAAACTGCTTAGATAGATTGTGTCAATCGTCGGCATTCCTGCATTCAATGGCAAGCGGACTAATAAGACAGTAAATTTTGTTTATATCATATTTATCATTTCTTACAGAAATGAAAAGAAGACTTACACTGTGTTACGAAAAGCTGGTTCCCAAGAATTATTCATAGCCGCCAGAAATTGGATGCTGTCGGACGACATGTGTTTGTATCACAGCAGTATAACCAATTATGAAGTTGAGGCATGCGTAAGACCTAGACCGGAATGGGTGTTAATTGATTGTCAAATGTTAGCTGAGCTAGGTAACTGTTTCCGTATTAACTACATTCCTGTAATTAGACTCTTTCGTAGAAGCCAAGAGTACTTTACAGACTGTCCAACGAATATACAGTATACTGTCTAATTCAGATAATCTCGAGGATACATTACCCCTAACCAATTCCAAACGTTAAAGGTAGATTCTTCTTATTGCTTAATGACAGAATACAGAGTTCAGACAAAGAACTCTTCTTACGCTTATAACTCAGTTGAACTTGAAGCAGTGGAGGCACAGAAAGTGTGTTTGCCTTCGAAATAATATTAATGATTTACTTTATTCCAAAAACAGTACTTGTGATACAGAATGGGATTTTCAGCATTAGTCACAATATTGCATCTAGTTTCCTCAAATTATAAATAAAATTAATCACACAGAAAATTTTCCACATTTACAATAGGGGTAGTGTCAAAATCATGCAGCATATAAAATGGAAATAGCAATAATAATGATAACAGCTAGGGTAATAATAATAAGAATACAAGTGAAAATTGCCGTTGGCTTGTGTCACACAGTATTGGCAATGTGGTATAGAAATCCTAACATGTTTAAAAATATTGAATATAACGTTCTCTTTACATGATATGGTGAGGGGAAAAACAAAGATTACAGCCATCATGGAGATAAGTTGGTGTTTGCAATTATGAGAGTGAAAAAACAGAAAAGTAACAGGACCATAAACATAATAGAAGTAATAAAAGTAAAACTTGAAGGTATATAAGCATGGATGGAGGAAACTGTTTATTTACTAGATGAAAAAAGGTTAGTTAATTCTTTCCTGACACTATTTTCATCACATAAAATACGTGCCAAGTATGGTATCATAGCATTTTTATACTTAGACGTGCGAGCATAGTTTTCTGAAGTTACTCCTTGTTCTACCTGAGGAGATGCAAGGTGAAAGCTGAGGGTAAAGCGGATGCTCCAAGTCAGACAAAATCCATTTAGCAAATTTATTGCATGAAGTCAAATGCCTATCGACAACGACGTTAACTATGTGGTCCACTGGGACACCACTCACCCTACTGACAGTCTTCAGTATTCTACGAATTGTGACATAGTCCTTTTTAAGCAAACCAGGAAAGAATAAGGGTGAGCAATAAAGAAGAATAGGTAGGATGCAAGAGTTGACAAACTGTAAGATGAGGGGTTGAGTTATACCCGAGTGTCTTAACTTCTTAATGTAAAATGTCAGGCGGAATATTTTACTGGAGATTGCTGAGACATGGGAAGACCAGGAGAGATCAGAAGAGAGAATAAGTCCAAGATACTTAATTTCTGATTTGATTCCTATATCATTGTCGTCAATTTTGCAACTGTCATGAGAATCGATGACTTCTTTTAACCATCTTAAGCTAAAATCAACAGTTTGACACTTAGAAGGATTCAGTTTAAGACCGTTAGACTCAGACCATTTGCTGACTCCCGATAGAAAGCTATTTATTTTAGTACAATCTAGCTGGGAGTTAACAGCTATTGAAACCGTTAAATCATCAGCGTACTTCACAAAGTTTATTTCATCAGAGTGAGGCAAGTCATGCAAGAAGAAAGAAAAAAGAAAAGGAGAGAGGACAGCGCCTCGAGGGACACCAGTTTCAGTAGGCAATGAAGTGGAAGACTTCCCTTTATATACGGTGTACTGCTTTCTATCTGAGAAATAGGAATATAACCAGTTAACAGCCCAACATTCTGTTTGACTAGCAGCAAGTTTATTTAATAAGATGTCCCTAGGGACCGAGTCGAAAGCAGATGTATAGTCTAGGAAGGCAACACGAGCAAATTTAGCCCCCTTGTCTAGACTGGAAGCAATGTTATGATATAAGACGGCAGCTGCATCTAAAGTACTTCTACTGTGCTTATAGGCGAATTGTTTAGGGTCATTAAAGGATTTAAGCGAAGGTACAAGACTAAGTAAAAGTAATTTCTCCATAGTTTTCAAAAAAGGAGAGGTAATAGCAATGGGTCTAAATTTGACACATGCTCCAGTGGATGATTTAGGTATGGGTACAACTTTAATGTCCTTCCAAACGGCAGGCACAATATTATCGGAAAAAGATTTGTTAAATAGATCAGTAAGAGGGTAACACAGAATATTAGGACATTTTTAAAAAATAATACTAGGTACATAATCGGGACCTAAGCTCTGGGAAGGGTTTAGAGACTTGAGGCACTTTTGAACATCATTTGTGTTGAAACCTGGAAAGGGGCTATTATTAACACAAGTGATGCTGGGAAGCATGGCACTTGAGGGAGAGTAAATAAAAGATTTGTTAAGAGTACATACATCAAAAGAATATGGAATATTGTTTATCTGCTTACCACCAGTGATTTCCTTAAATAGTTTCCACATATTAGAAGGATTTTTGCAGGATATGAATTTCTGGCTATGTATTACATTCAACCTCTGCATTTCAGACTTAATTAAGAAGTTAGTTCTTTTTATACCACTTTTATCTTTCATCTTATATAATTTTTCCTTCTCTCTACGAAGCTTTTTAAGTTGAGGTGAGGAGAAACGGTCAAATTTGACGAATAGTGTTTCTTTTGGACAACAGATTTCAAAACAGAATTTCAGATAGGATGTAATATTAGAGATATTGTCATCAAGTGAATCATCAGTAAACAAATCCCATCTTGTGTCACTGAGCATGTTTCTAAGATGATGCACGTTCTCATTTGAGTAGCATCTGTGAACAACTTTCTTAGACAAGTTTGAGAGGGATTTACTGTGTAACTTTCCGTAAATTTTGGGTAAGACTCGTACAATACAATGATCAGAATTGAAGAGTGGGACTCTTTTACGAGCTTCATATATTCCAGAATCATTTATAAATACTAAATCAAGTGAAGTATTTTGTCGAGTTGGGAAATTAACAACATTTTCATGGCCCAGCAATGTAATAAAACTGCAGTCGCTGGAGTTGAAGTCGCCAGTCACTATAGATAAGGAGTTACCAAACGAAGCAGCAGCAAAAATAGTGAATTCATCAGCGAAGATAGATAGTTCTGAGGGACTGCAACAAGGTGTAATATAGATATTTGTGACAAAAATGAAGCTATACTTAGATAAGTGTTTAGGTCGACATTTTACAGTTATACAATCAATATTGTCATTTGAGAATTTGAAGCAGACGTTGTTGGCAGTAGACCACTGAGAATTAATAAAAGTGACAACACCACCACCTCTCTTCTTCTTTGAGCTGCATCGGTCTTGTGTGTAGATTGTGAACCCACTTAAGGAGACTAAATTATCGTCATATGAATCATGGAGCCAAGTCTCATGAAGAGTGATTACACCAGTATTACAATATATATTTGAGTATAATAGAGAATGCAAATAGTTAATCTTGTTCGATAATGAAATACCCAACAACCAATTTCATGGAAACTGTTATGGCACCGACAGCCAGGTAACGCATTTATTTAATATCCTTACTCCCTGAGCACTTCCACTCAACAAATGCCAGTGGCGACGTCTTCACCTATACCACAGCCAGTTCAGCAGACTACGTATGTCATTTTTCATTAGTGGTAACTTTGCAGTAAGGAAAACGGTGATTCGGATAATAAAGTGGTCAATGAGTTGCAGTCCCTTAGAGGAGAAATGCAGTCCTTTAAAGGAGAAATCAAAGGAAAACTTCAGTCCCTTAATAAAATAGTGGCGCAATTGCTCTCAGTGAATAAGTCAACCGGCGTGACCGTCTTGGGAACCGGGAAGTCGTCCATTGACAAAAGTCAACTGGCTATTGGCTACTGAAGAAGAGTTTAGCCAACTGGAAGCGTCACTGAAAAATCCGAAATTTAAAGATTCATTCGTAAGTTTACAATAAATCTTTACTTACTTTCAGATGACGAAACTGGTTGCGAGTTCATCTTTTAATCCAGTCTTCGTTGAGACGGATGCCTAATTATGTAATGGAGCCTCAGGTGTCAAGTCGTTTTACAGCATTTGGAACCCCAAAGAAGTTAGCTCTCACTAAATGCAATTTTCATGCATAAAGGTTGCATTTAGTGAGAGCTAACTTCTTTGGGGTTCCAAATGCTGTAAAACGACTTGACAGCTGAGGCTCCATTACATAATTAGGCATCCGTCTCAACGAAGACTGGATTAAAAGATGAACTCGCAACCAGTTTCGTCATCTGAAAGTAAGTAAAGATTTATTGTAAACTTACGAATGAATCTTTAAATTTCGGATTTTTCAGTGACGCTTCCAGTTGGCTAAACTCTTCTTCAGTAGCCAATAGCCAGTTGACTTTTGTCAATGGACGACTTCCCGGTTCCCAAGACGGTCACGCCGGTTGACTTATTCACTGAGAGCAATTGCGCCACTATTTTATTAAGGGACTGAAGTTTTCCTTTGATTTCTCCTTTAAAGGACTGCATTTCTCCTCTAAGGGACTGCAACTCATTGACCACTTTATTATCCGAATCACCGTTTTCCTTACTGCAAAGTTACCACTAATGAAAAATGACATACGTAGTCTGCTGAACTGGCTGTGGTATAGGTGAAGACGTCGCCACTGGCATTTGTTGAGTGGAAGTGCTCAGGGAGTAAGGATATTAAATAAATGCGTTACCTGGCTGTCGGTGCCATAACAGTTTCCATGAAATTGGTTGTTGGGTATTTCATTATCGAACAAGATTAACTATTTGCATTCTCTATTATACTCAAATATATATTGTAATACTGGTGTAATCACTCTTCATGAGACTTGGCTCCATGATTCATATGACGATAATTTAGTCTCCTTAAGTGGGTTCACAATCTACACACAAGACCGATGCAGCTCAAAGAAGAAGAGAGGTGGTGGTGTTGTCACTTTTATTAATTCTCAGTGGTCTACTGCCAACAACGTCTGCTTCAAATTCTCAAATGATAATATTGATTGTATAACTGTAAAATGTCGACCTAAACACTTATCTAAGTATAGCTTCATTTTTGTCACAAATATCTATATTACACCTTGTTGCAGTCCCTCAGAACTATCTATCTTCGCTGATGAATTCACTACTTTTGCTGCTGCTTCGTTTGGTAACTCCTTATCTATAGTGACTGGCGACTTCAACTCCAGCAACTGCAGTTTTATTACATTGCTGGGCCATGAAAATGTTGTTAATTTCCCAACTCGACAAAATACTTCACTTGATTTAGTATTTATAAATGATTCTGGAATATATGAAGCTCGTAAAAGAGTCCCACTCTTCAATTCTGATCATTGTATTGTACGAGTCTTACCCAAAATTTACGGAAAGTTACACAGTAAATCCCTCTCAAACTTGTCTAAGAAAGTTGTTCACAGATGCTACTCAAATGAGAACGTGCATCATCTTAGAAACATGCTCAGTGACACAAGATGGGATTTGTTTACTGATGATTCACTTGATGACAATATCTCTAATATTACATCCTATCTGAAATTCTGTTTTGAAATCTGTTGTCCAAAAGAAACACTATTCGTCAAATTTGACCGTTTCTCCTCACCTCAACTTAAAAAGCTTCGTAGAGAGAAGGAAAAATTATATAAGATGAAAGATAAAAGTGGTATAAAAAGAACTAACTTCTTAATTAAGTCTGAAATGCAGAGGTTGAATGTAATACATAGCCAGAAATTCATATCCTGCAAAAATCCTTCTAATATGTGGAAACTATTTAAGGAAATCACTGGTGGTAAGCAGATAAACAATATTCCATATTCTTTTGATGTATGTACTCTTAACAAATCTTTTATTTACTCTCCCTCAAGTGCCATGCTTCCCAGCATCACTTGTGTTAATAATAGCCCCTTTCCAGGTTTCAACACAAATGATGTTCAAAAGTGCCTCAAGTCTCTAAACCCTTCCCAGAGCTTAGGTCCCGATTATGTACCTAGTATTATTTTTTAAAAATGTCCTAATATTCTGTGTTACCCTCTTACTGATCTATTTAACAAATCTTTTTCCGATAATATTGTGCCTGCCGTTTGGAAGGACATTAAAGTTGTACCCATACCTAAATCATCCACTGGAGCATGTGTCAAATTTAGACCCATTGCTATTACCTCTCCTTTTTTGAAAACTATGGAGAAATTACTTTTACTTAGTCTTGTACCTTCGCTTAAATCCTTTAATGACCCTAAACAATTCGCCTATAAGCACAGTAGAAGTACTTTAGATGCAGCTGCCGTCTTATATCATAACATTGCTTCCAGTCTAGACAAGGGGGCTAAATTTGCTCGTGTTGCCTTCCTAGACTATACATCTGCTTTCGACTCGGTCCCTAGGGACATCTTATTAAATAAACTTGCTGCTAGTCAAACAGAATGTTGGGCTGTTAACTGGTTATATTCCTATTTCTCAGATAGAAAGCAGTACACCGTATATAAAGGGAAGTCTTCCACTTCATTGCCTACTGAAACTGGTGTCCCTCGAGGCGCTGTCCTCTCTCCTTTTCTTTTTTCTTTCTTCTTGCATGACTTGCCTCACTCTGATGAAATAAACTTTGTGAAGTACGCTGATGATTTAACGGTTTCAATAGCTGTTAACTCCCAGCTAGATTGTACTAAAATAAATAGCTTTCTATCGGGAGTCAGCAAATGGTCTGAGTCTAACGGTCTTAAACTGAATCCTTCTAAGTGTCAAACTGTTGATTTTAGCTTAAGATGGTTAAAAGAAGTCATCGATTCTCATGACAGTTGCAAAATTGACGACAATGATATAGGAATCAAATCAGAAATTAAGTATCTTGGACTTATTCTCTCTTCTGATCTCTCCTGGTCTTCCCATGTCTCAGCAATCTCCAGTAAAATATTCCGCCTGACATTTTACATTAAGAAGTTAAGACACTCGGGTATAACTCAACCCCTCATCTTACAGTTTGTCAACTCTTGCATCCTACCTATTCTTCTTTATTGCTCACCCTTATTCTTTCCTGGTTTGCTTAAAAAGGACTATGTCACAATTCGTAGAATACTGAAGACTGTCAGTAGGGTGAGTGGTGTCCCAGTGGACCACATAGTTAACGTCGTTGTCGATAGGCATTTGACTTCATGCAATAAATTTGCTAAATGGTCCCTAGGGACATCTTATTAAATAAACTTGCTGCTAGTCAAACAGAATGTTGGGCTGTTAACTGGTTATATTCCTATTTCTCAGATAGAAAGCAGTACACCGTATATAAAGGGAAGTCTTCCACTTCATTGCCTACTGAAACTGGTGTCCCTCGAGGCGCTGTCCTCTCTCCTTTTCTTTTTTCTTTCTTCTTGCATGACTTGCCTCACTCTGATGAAATAAACTTTGTGAAGTACGCTGATGATTTAACGGTTTCAATAGCTGTTAACTCCCAGCTAGATTGTACTAAAATAAATAGCTTTCTATCGGGAGTCAGCAAATGGTCTGAGTCTAACGGTCTTAAACTGAATCCTTCTAAGTGTCAAACTGTTGATTTTAGCTTAAGATGGTTAAAAGAAGTCATCGATTCTCATGACAGTTGCAAAATTGACGACAATGATATAGGAATCAAATCAGAAATTAAGTATCTTGGACTTATTCTCTCTTCTGATCTCTCCTGGTCTTCCCATGTCTCAGCAATCTCCAGTAAAATATTCCGCCTGACATTTTACATTAAGAAGTTAAGACACTCGGGTATAACTCAACCCCTCATCTTACAGTTTGTCAACTCTTGCATCCTACCTATTCTTCTTTATTGCTCACCCTTATTCTTTCCTGGTTTGCTTAAAAAGGACTATGTCACAATTCGTAGAATACTGAAGACTGTCAGTAGGGTGAGTGGTGTCCCAGTGGACCACATAGTTAACGTCGTTGTCGATAGGCATTTGACTTCATGCAATAAATTTGCTAAATGGATTTTGTCTGACTTGGAGCATCCGCTTTACCCTCAGCTTTCACCTTGCATCTCCTCAGGTAGAACAAGGAGTAACTTCAGAAAACTATGCTCGCACGTCTAAGTATAAAAATGCTATGATACCATACTTGGGGCACGTATTTTATGTGATGAAAATAGTGTCAGGAAAGAATTAACTAACCTTTTTTCATCTAGTAAATAAACAGTTTCCTCCATCCATGCTTATATACCTTCAAGTTTTACTTTTATTACTTCTATTATGTTTATGGTCCTGTTACTTTTCTGTTTTTTCACTCTCATAATTGCAAACACCAACTTATCTCCATGATGGCTGTAATCTTTGTTTTTCCCCTCACCATATCATGTAAAGAGAACGTTATATTCAATATTTTTAAACATGTTAGGATTTCTATACCACATTGCCAATACTGTGTGACACAAGCCAACGGCAATTTTCACTTGTATTCTTATTATTATTACCCTAGCTGTTATCATTATTATTGCTATTTCCATTTTATATGCTGCATGATTTTGACACTACCCCTATTGTAAATGTGGAAAATTTTCTGTGTGATTAATTTTATTTATAATTTGAGGAAACTAGATGCAATATTGTGACTAATGCTGAAAATCCCATTCTGTATCACAAGTACTGTTTTTGGAATAAAGTAAATCATTAATATTATTTCGAAGGCAAACACACTTTCTGTGCCTCCACTGCTTCAAGTTCAACTGAGTTATAAGCGTAAGAAGAGTTCTTTGTCTGAACTCTGTATTCTGTCATTAAGCAATAAGAAGAATCTACCTTTAACGTTTGGAATTGGTTAGGGGTAATGTATCCTCGAGATTATCTGAATTAGACAGTATACTGTATATTCGTTGGACAGTCTGTAAAGTACTCTTGGCTTCTACGAAAGAGTCTAATTACAGGAATGTAGTTAATACGGAAACAGTTACCTAGCTCAGCTAACATTTGACAATCAATTAACACCCATTCCGGTCTAGGTCTTACGCATGCCTCAACTTCATAATTGGTTATACTGCTGTGATACAAACACATGTCGTCCGACAGCATCCAATTTCTGGCGGCTATGAATAATTCTTGGGAACCAGCTTTTCGTAACACAGTGTAAGTCTTCTTTTCATTTCTGTAAGAAATGATAAATATGATATAAACAAAATTTACTGTCTTATTAGTCCGCTTGCCATTGAATGCAGGAATGCCGACGATTGACACAATCTATCTAAGCAGTTTATGGAAAAGTATGAGGCAATGCCACCGCTACTTCATACCTATCTGTACGAATACCGAAGCACTTACAAGTAATATCTGACGGAAGAATTTCTAGCTTGTTTGGACTAACTCTTGAGCGTTTCCATATCCCAATGTGGGATGACTTAAATGGGTCGTCGAAGAAATCACAAACGTCTGCATAAGGTCTGAATATTAGTCCTTCCTTGTTTATCTGTGCTATCAGACCCGGTCTACCGTGAGCTATGACTAAGTTATCTGGTGAAGAGGAAGTTATAACTGTATTACTGGTGTTAACTATTTGCCTACGTGCATCAACCTCACAGTGATTTATAACGTTATTGTATACTTCTCCTGAGTTGCAGTCGTGAAACACCTTTTCAGCAAACCGTTGTGCCGCTTGCTTAGTGATTGCATTGTTGGAATGTATAGATCGCCTGATTGTCTGCATATAAGATTCAAATGGGAACGCCGAAAAAGATTCTAACGGTCCCATTTCATTGACATCTTCAGCCAAGTGTTGCAGACAATGGATGTTATAAACGAGGTGCTCCCTGCCATATATCACTTCAAACTCATCCAGAAAGTTGAGTAACTCAACTCTGCAACCTTCTAAGTAATTTCGATAAAACTTAGAGTGGGACAGAAGATAAACTGCAAGACTCAGTCTTCGGTAGTTGCGGTAGATTGCCAGTGGCATAATGTCCTTAAGTAAAACTGGTCCTGGGTACAGGAGGAAGAGGCGACATTCAGTGGCTTTCCACCGACTAACTTCGGTGACCCCCCTACACTTCCTCGGGAAGTCCCTGGGTGTCATTCCAGCACAAGGTAATATCTTCCCGTCAATATTTTCAAGCATGAGACGGTTGACGTGCATCTCATTTCTTTTAGCTAAGTCTTGCCAGAGACTTGTTAGCTTCCTAACTACCCCTAAATATACTAGGTGCATTGGATCAAGAGGGAAGCATTTTACCATATCAATATTTAATTCCTCAAAAATACACTCTCCACGGTGGTGACTTGGCTGCATCCTTTTACGGAAGCTGTCATCAGTTCGTATTGGAAAAAAACCATTCCCAAATATCATTCTTCCGTCAACTTTTAATCCGGTTACTGTGCATTTGTCGCAGCCAGAGCTGGCATTATCACCTACTATATATTTCAAGTCCGCCCTAGCCGGTGCATCACAGATGACGGCTGTCAAACGAACGTTGAAATGTCTATTAAGTCTGGTAATATGTATGCCTTGACTTAGTATATCCTTTAGTTCAGATACTAAGTCATTGCATAACTCTTTGTAACTACTGGGTTTGCTAGGACCACCGTATATACCTATCATGAACACACTGCTTAAGAACGGTGCCGTAATCCTACCTAACAGGGGCAGTAACTGCTGGTTAGAAGACTTAGAGATGGACAATCCGTCGACATTCAACTGCAGATCAATCATGTTGCAGGGACTTCCAATCACAGACGACATCTCCATGTAATCATTTTTTGAGACTGATGTAGCAGTACATTCCTTCTCCAAGTAGTCTAGACTCGCAAGACCCACACATTCTCAGTACACTTCTAACAGTTGTTGGTAGTTGAGGCAATTTCGCACGGAAGATCTCCAATATTCTGTTAGCGGCTGCTTGTGAAATGTTCGTGGTGACCAGGGTATTCAGAAGCATACTTGTCATATCATCACGTTCAGAAGAGACTTGTGTGCACATTTGCGAAGTACTAGCAGCTGGTGTTACGCTGCTGCATGGTGCCGATGGCACTACCTCGGTTTCATTAGTCATAGTATCAGTGTTCACTGAAGAGGGCTCGACTTCAACAGGAAGGACAGCATGTGAGACAGCCTCCGTTGACGTCGACGCTACCTTTATCTCGGCCATTGTCTGCGTATAATGACGTTTATATCTTTTGTAAGACGTTGTGTAATGGCAGGTCAACTGTAGATTACGCTCACGTATTCTTTTCAGGCTTAATATAGGGTATTTAGTGTTAGACTAGGAGAAAAATTGAAAAGGGACCACAGCGACCACCTACCTGCGTCGTGAACAATTTAAAAGTGAGCGCAAAATGTGCGACTGTAAGAAAACAAACCCTAACAATTGGTTGCGCTGTAATTAACATTTACCAAAGCAATTTTGCACAAACTGCACTGATTGGTAAGTAAGCTTTGAAATGATTCAATAGGAAAATATAGATTTCATTGAATTACGAAAAATGCATCAGTTAATTTATGCGTTTTCTTCATTTGCAGTAGCGGTGAGGTATTTTCTACCCAAAAATGTTACTACTTACAATTTATTAGTAGCCTACCGAGTAAAGTGAAACTTTTCCATTGCTTCCCTATTTTGTCCCCATCATTCGGATTTTGTCCCCCTTTTTAAGATATTGTCGCCATTATTCGGATTTTGTCCCCATTTTACACTATTGTTATTATTTTGCCTAAAATGTCCCCATTTTTCCTCATATTTGTCGGATTGGCACAGTTGCACTAAAAACTGAGTGCGACTTGATAAACAAGAGTATAGACAAATAAAATGAAAATTAATGTCCTCCCTACTTTTTGAACAACGTTTCCTTATTCCTGGATAATAAATTTCTTTCACCTCTGAGCCTGAGTTAAGTCTATGAATTCGCAATAATACATAAGTTTAATCTTCCCCCAAAACCAAGGCCACTTGTAACCAATAGCAACATAGTAACAGGCGTCATTGAGGGGATATGCAATAAAGTCGCTCTTACTTCACTATCACGTGATCGGCGTCCATTATTTTGGGCCCCGCTGTGATTTTCTTTGTGTGGCCTCCAATGTCATTCATCACACTAAGGTGACTGGCCCACCTACATTCACCAAAACATAGCGGTTTTCTCCACAGAAACACCAGACCGGTAATGCTGAGTTAGAAAATGTGTTGGAGATGGGGGTTCTGGACTATCCAACAGCATGTAGTCTTCACCACTATGTATGCTGCATAATAACAGTGGCATGGACTGCATGCCTTGGGCCAATTACGGAAGGCTGAATGTCGAAATGGCCCAAGAGTGTTGCCCAGATCCATGAATACATGACATGACATTTGAAAAGCCCATTTGTTTTCGGCAGACGTGACTTGACACATGCTTATCAGTAGATCCAACTCTGTCCTCATTGTTTCAAAGACTGCAGACTTTACACTGTTTGCTCCTTCTGAGTTTCTTCGAATATCTTTTGGTATACCCATCTCCGCATATGTTTCAGCATTTCGTCCATGATGGCCTGCATGGGTCAGACTTTGCTTGTGCATATCCAAAAAGCAATCCGATAACTAGTAGAGGTGAAGGAACTCATCGTGACCAACTCAAACAAGCCTTCTGATAGCTTTCGAAACATTTGGAAACAATCATTATTGCCAAGTGGTAGGTTGGCAATTTGTTAACTCTTGCATTGGTCTTTACTGCTCCCCCTTATTCTTTCCTGAATTACTCAGAAACGACTATGTCGTATTGTGCAGGATATTAAGGTTGTCAGTAGAGCAGGTGGTGTACCATTTAGTCAACTCGTTTATGCATTAGTTGAAAGACATCTGAACTCATGCGAGAAATAGTTTATATCTATACTGTCTGGCCCTCAACATCCCCTTTATTCTCAGCTCTTACCTTTAATTTCATCTGATGGAATCAAAAGTCAGTATCAAAGATTATACGATCGTTTTTGGAATTACGTAATTCTAAAAATTGTTGTCGTTTTCATTGGCAGCAGTTCACATTCTATTGAGTTTACACAAGTACAATGCCCATTTATAACTTTACTGAGGAGACATCAACTAGGATTCTAGAAAAAAAAGTAGGTCAGTATGTGAATTTTATGAATCTCTAGACTACATTCCATTCACTTAATACTGACACTAAACTATGAGGGAACTGATATTTCCAAGAAGGATATAATACAAAGCTCATTTCTACAACTGTCCTCCTTATTTTAGTTCACATTCATCATACATGTATTAACCAAATTGTTCGTCACTCACTTTAGGGACTTACCAAGGAACAGTCTTGTCAACTTAGTGTATGCTGATGGTATTGTCCACTTAGGCTGCAAGAAGTGACCACTGAAACTGAAAGATATGAAAAGACTACTGGTTTTTGATCGCAGTGTCTGTACCCTTTCTTCTGTATTAAGTAGACTAACGTGATGAGTAATATTGAGGTTAAGCTTAGTTTGTGTTAAGTAGAAATGTATTCCAAACGTTGTTAATGACACAGATGCATTCACTCTGCGTATTCTCACATATCTGAGCAACCCTTATATATTTTTTCCATATCACTGGTCGTTTTCCATCACATATGTACTCATTATCTTGTACTTTATGTGTCTCCTAATTGTTTCAATTTTGTCTTCCTCATTGCAGGTTGTTAGTCTTTGTAGACTTTCTACTAGATGCTATCATACATAGTGTCTGCAAGCAGTCTTTCAATACATCTACCTCCCGCAAAGTTGTTGTTACTATGCCTTTAGATTATTTACATTTGGCTGTGATGCAATTAGTATGCTAATATTACTGATGCAATGATATGCAAGACTTGTACATGTTACTGTGAAGTTTGCCTGTAAAAACATTCCCTCCATAGTAAATACAATACTTGTGATAACAATTCGTCATTATCTTTTCATTGCGTATATATTAGAAAAAAGCTAACCTTGTCGTGTTAGTTCTCTAAATTACAATCACTAAGTGCCCACACCTTTGCTGAATAACAAGTGCTACTCGTGGCCCATGAAATACTTATCACTGCATTCGTAAATAACTAACAAACTATTATTACATGGAATAGTGAGACATAAGGCGTATGAAATTTGGATGCTAATGTGTATCTGAAGTTAATGACACAATATATATGTACATGTTTCATTTCCAAACAAGTAGATTTTATAGGGTAATGTAGGGCTGAGCTTGGTGAGTTAATAGTGTATTCATTACTGTATAAATCTTGTATGAGTGAAATGCTTCTATTCAATTTTCGGCGAAGCCGCAATATCACCCTGCAGGGTTTCTTCAATGCACTCTCATAGGTTATAATACTTGATACTGAAGAATCCAGCCAAAAGCATCTGTGACACAGTCGAATGACGTTTTAAACTAAAGGCGGCATTACTGATATTAAGTGTGATTTACCTGTAAACTGTGGAACTGTAGTGTAACACAGCACCTTATACCAGCAGGGTATTCTTAGTGTCATACAGATACAAGTAGAATTCATGGACTGAGCATTTGTTAAATATGGAGGCCACCCATTGAGTCACTTAGACGAAATGCGATACCTTACACACGCACCTTCAGATGTAGGCATGTGTCACTTCACATGAACTCTGAGACATATCGAGTAGGCATTCCTTTAAATCTACCCTAGCTTGTACGCTCAATTATCGTTCGAATAAATGTGATGACTTGGTGCGTTTCCTAGTTTGCCTATAATTATGAAATGTACATAATATTAAGGAACACAAATGAATTTGCTTAAAACCAGTGATATTCCTTCTCTAGTCTTAACTGATGTCACATTGATTGACACGATTAAAGGAATAGATTGTAATGTGGTGTGCTCTGTAGCTGCAAATCTTGGTTACCTAGTTTTAAATTGATACCATGCGTCTAATCTTATTAACCTATAGATATAGTTCTTCCTTCACGATATCTAGAAGTCAGGAGCACACTGTCTTTGACAGATCTAGCTTTAATTGTGACTGATTGGTGAGTCATCTAGCGTTGTGGTTGTAGAAAAACCAACCCCAAACCTAAGTATTTTCTAGAAATGAACATATTTACTTACTTTGGTGACAATTTAATCTTGAGGATATTAACCTTTACTTAGTAATTTGGATCCTAAAGTAAACGCCATGTTACTAAGCTATCCAAAGGACAGAATGATCAGTGAAATAGTACTCGAACATTTATTCTAACGAAACCGAATAATGATAATCGTTTAGCCTACCAATATGCCGTTTACTTTCAGTCTTAATTCAAAGACAAATCTAGTTACTCACTAAATTAATAGTTTCAGAAGACTGCTCTACTCCTGTCTTCGAAATACTTTGCCCGATCGTGTTTTACTTTAAAAATATATGTATACTGGCCAGTTGATGTTGCTTATCCAGTTATACTGTTTTTCAGTTACAATGTCCCATCTATTTCCTATCAAACAAAACATCCCTTAAACTATCAACAAGTCACCATCATTTCTAAATAAATAGCCTTGACTATTCGCATGTAAACGATGCTATAAACTTTATCACCTACGTGATGTTTCAACTTTCGAATAATCAGTTTTCCCTTATATGAGCACCTGTTTCAATTTTTAACGGATAGTTCTAACCTTTGACTACTGAATTAGTACGTTTCGTTATATACCATCCTTACGAAATATAGGTACTGATAATAATTACTACTAACAGATTTATAATGAGAACGAGAATGTACTCCATATTGACGACAATATACCTCAGGGGCGGACGTTTGTTTCTAAACTCAATACAACACATGACCCTAACTATGTAGCTCAAAACATTCTATAAAGTTAGTAGTGACTATTAACAAGCAGAATGACTATTTGAGGTATAGAGAATACATTTATTAGTGATTCAACACAAAATCAACGGTACTGGAAACCACTTTCTTCAGTAAAGAATCCCACGAGGTCACTAGAACTACAGATTAGCTAAAAAAGAAAACAAGGGTTCACAGAATGTATGCATGAATATATACCAACCAATATAACATCAACGAGATAGCACAGTAGGAATTAATGAAAGTTTATATCAATGTGCGATTACATTAGTCACTACTTTTGACACAAGTGGATATTTTGACGAAGTAATAAGAACCTTCATTTACAACTGTCTCCGCTC